CCCCCGCCCCGGTGATCTGCGCCCATGGCTTTTATCAATCTGGAGCTGGAGAAACGTAGTATACCTTAAACTATAACCAATTCGCTAGATCTCCTTGATAAGATTCTCCTCTTCAATAGCAAAACAGTCTTCATAAACCACATTGCCTTGCCAATGAGGCTATAGCTATCTCCAGACACGTCTCCCTCACTAGAAAACACCTGACTTACACTCTAATAACCTTTGCTAAATGAAGGTCAAGTAAAAGTCTAACGTTATCCCGTGGCTGGATTTTGGGACACCAAACTTTTCTCTTAGCTTTAGAGTCAATATGTAACCTATCAAACGTCAATGGAAACATTATTCAGAGACAATCCGTATGATGCACACTCACGTCGCCTGTTTATTTATCAAACATTAGGATAAATCTACATCACACTAGTATGCCAAAGTAAATTGGTGACAGTACTGTGGTCACATGGTACATTGCCTCAGTAACGGTCACAAAGAACAATTGGTCACAATAACATGATAGTCACATGGTAAATTGGTCACAATAACATGATAGTCACATGGTAAATTGGTCACAGTTATTTTGTCACATGGTACATTGGTCACAGTAATATTGTCGCAAGGTAAATTGGTCACAGTTATTTTGTCACATGGTACATTGGTCACAGTAATATTGTCACATGGTAAATTGGTCACAGTTATTTTGTCACATGGTACATTGGTCACAGTAATATTGTCGCAAGGTAAATTGGTCACAGTAATATTGTTACGAAGTACATTGGTCACAGTAATATTGCCTCATAGTACATTGGTCATAGTAATATGGTATCATAGTACATTGGTCACATTAATATTGTCACAAGGTAAATTGGTCACAGTAATATGGTCACAAGGTAAATTAGTCACAGTAATATTGTCTCATAGTACATTGGTCACAGTAATATGGTCACAAGGTAAATTGGTCACAGTAATATGGTCACATGGCAAATTGGTCACAGTTATTTTGTCACATGGTACATTGGTCACAGTAATATTGTCGCAAGGTAAATTGGTCACAGTAATATTGTTACGTAGTACATTGGTCACAGTGATATTGTCGCAAGGTAAATTGGTCACAGTAATATTGTTACGTAGTACATTGGTCACAGTGATATTGTCTCATGGTAAATTGGTCACAGTAATATTGTCTCATGGTAAATTGGTCACAGTAATATTGTCTCATGGTAAATTGGTCACAGTATAATACAGTGTATTACAGTGGGTACCTGAGAAGCTTTGGGGAACAAATTTTGTAAAATGTATTATGATAAACAATAGGTAATTGAAAAATGTTTGTCGAATGTGGACAATTTCGTGGTTTTTAACAATATCTGGAATATAAACCACTGTAATCTGTGAAACTTTCGCTTTACTCTTTGTTTTATTCCAGTGGCTGCGATAAGACAATCGGAAGCGTATAAAGGGTAGAGTATAGACTATAGAGGGTAAAATAAGGTGAGGAACCAAAGGTAAAAGTGGTAGAATCTGCAGCTAGACCAAAATAAGTAACTTATTACATATAGCCCCGTTACACCGGACCGCCACCATTTGCGATCTTATAGCGACATGAAATGTACTAGTCGCGGTCAAACGTAAGGAAAACTAGAGCAAAAGTCCCTGAAAAATTACTAAATTAAGAATAGTCGACCTCTAACCGCAAGTTATGCGACCATATTACGATCTAACGTTTACTGCGTGTACTGCGCTTTATACAGTATATTATATACTATTGTGTAACAGTAACTGGGTAGTAAGAACGCACGGTCTGGTGTGAAGGGGCCTTAAAGAAAACATTTTACAATCTCTTTAAGTTTGAGATTAAGTGTCGGTTTGATGTCACCACGCCATAACTGACCTCTGATACTTGGAAATCAATTAGAAAGTTCCCTCCCTTTCCGCCCATCGGAGTTATAACCCTATAAATACCATTAATCATACACCATTTAAAATATTAGACCAGTCGATTCCACAACTATAGCCTGCAACTATCAACTTTCATGAATTATTAGTACCGTTTTAATTTTAACAATGGTTTGAAAGTTGGACAGCGTGCTGTAATTTATATTAGACTATTTGAAGTTTGGAGATCTTAAAGTGATATTAGATTCATACAAGGTAACTTTTTCTCTGTTTGTCAATAATTTTCTTTTTTTATTTATGTTTTTCTGTATATTTTCGGGGTTAAGTAAAATTTTTCACTGAATGTTTTTAAATTGACAAGATGTCCGTCGATAAAATTATAATAGATATTTTGAAAGAACGCAAGAAATTAAGTTCAGGAAAAACCTTTGTGATACCTGATATTATTATTTTATCAATATTTCATTAATTATCAAATCATAATAAGACACAATATGAAATGTGTTTATCCATAAAAAATGAAAATGTTTCAAGGGTGAAAATTGTTTGTTATCTTAAGGGCAACTTTATTTTTTCCGACTCAGGACATATTACGTCCCTTTAAAATTCACAATCATACCCCGGAAAGTTTCTATCAATCTGACAAATTCAAGATCAGGCGTTGTTTTCCTAAAAGCTCTGTATTCTATGTGGAGTCAAATTTATGTAAGAGTTTGGTCATTCGTGGATAAAAGTTGAAAATCACGATTGATTGTGTTTTTGGGTAATAAAAGCTCGTATTCGCTACCCGCTTTATTAATAATAATAATAAACTCGTTATTTTAAAGATGGGTTTCCTTGTGTTTTAGTGTCAAATTAAGCAAACTATTTGATTAATTGGTGTTTCTAATGAATTATCATGTATTCCTCATCATATCTTTATGTTCTATATGCTCATTTTTGATCGGTCACTCATTGGAATTCTGCTGATATAATTCTCTTCTAATTCATAATTTATGAATTAATTATGGACATATGAGACAAACTGGTATTTTTCCAAGTCATTAGAACACCTCTATTTTCTATTCATATAAGTATTAACATTTTCATATTCATAAATGAAAATAAGGGAACCCGTCTTTAAATGGTTCAGAATTAGGCCCAATGCACAAGAACATGGATTTGTCTAACATTCATCCTATGGAGTAAAACTTTTAACTGTGTTTTTAAAAAAAAATGATTTTTTTAAGATAATTGGGCCATTATGTATCTTGTGATCCTTTAATATGTATATTTCCATATTTTGAAATAAATTGGGGATTATAACTCATTTTAACTAAATGGAATATAGATAATAAAACAGATATAAATCTCAATTCAGAATTAGATAATGGCGTATTTATTCCTTTCCAATGGACCAAGTTGTTATCTTAGTTTAATCAAGAATAATGGCAAAAGTCACGGTATATATGCCAGACGTAGAGTCAAATATCAGCCGTGAACATATTCTATAAGCTAATCTTCGGATGCTAAGATTTTAAAAGGATTTTAAATGTTTCTCTGTAAATAAATGGAGGTGTTAAAGAGATTGTAAATATCGTCTGGTTTGTGTGAGGTACAACACCCACGGTTTATTACAAACCCATTATAATAACAGTTTCATTAATTAGACGCGTTGAAGTCGAAAACGAATGGGTCTATGTTGAAATCTATATCCTCCCGGACCTTCTCATTCGATCCCGACAGGGATCGAAGTACCACCCGCTATCCCGGAGCTTCTGGTTCGAACCTGACAAAGATCGAAGTACCACCCGCTATCCCGGAGCTTCGTGTTCGAACCTGACATAGATCAAAGTACCACCCGCAATCCCGGAGCTTCGTGTTCGAACAGGACAAAGATCGAAGTACCACTCGCAATCCCGGGGCTTCGTGTTCGAACCTGACAAAGATCGAAAATCACCCGCAATCCCGGAGCTTCGAGTTCTATCCCGACGTATATTTTAAATCTGGCTTCCCATTAACTGGGATTCAGGCCAAATTTGAAATAGAGTAAGAGAAGGCTAACTCTGAGTTTCTGTCAAAATTGACCTAAATCATGTTGTATGCCTCCTGAATAATTAACCATAAGCGTAGTCACCCACAGAAACATACCCAACAAAAACATCTCGATCTGCATGTATATCAAACAAACAGGTCTACTGGCGATTCAAAGCACCTTATTGGATCCGTTAGAGTCGCCGGAAACGCTTATCTCGAAACTGGCCCGACTACAGCTCCATCCATTTCATCTTCTTTTTTATTTCAGCAATCCAAGACAAAACCAGCTAAAAATCAAAATGGCGGATGTCTACAGTAAATGTTTCGTAATCTTTGTTTGCTGTATACAGTTAATACGAGCACATCCTTGTGGTGAAAATCCACTGAGAGGTTTCATTTCTTTATCCCGTGTCACAGGTAAGGGTTATTCTTAGGTTTATGGGTGGGTAATATTAAAGGAACAGACGGTTTGATTTGGGTCTTGAAATATAGTCTTCAGAAGAACTCGAAATATACCAACATCGCATAATACCTTCAAAAATATCTTTTATTTCTATATATGGCAGTGTCTCAAGAAAAGACGAGTCGTCTTTGTAACTTTTAAACCTGGATAATTCTGGACAAACATAGATTTGCAGGCTAAAATTTGGACGAGGAACTGTGGACACTGATTAACTAAGCCACAAAAATCCCCGTTTCTGAGTTTTCTTAGTTTAAGAGATGGTCAAGTAAAATTGTTAGTTTTCGAGTTGGTTGTTGCTGTTCTCAGTGATATAGCGGAGTGTCTGTCGGCTTTATAAATAGTTATTATAACTAAGCTCTGTCTCCCAGTGGTCAATAATATATTACTTTTGGTTAATATGAGGAAGTGGATTTGGTTTTAGATGAATATCAATAGAATTATCACTGTTTTATCAACTTCAATTGTATATAACCGTTATATTTTCAAATGTTTTTCACCCTAACATTCAGTTCTTACACTGCTCAAGTGACGGTACCAGCCTCCCGTGACTGGGGGTACAAATAAGGGACAGACTGACTCAATGGGGGGACAACTGACGAGGCTGGATTCATTATGAGGCAACTCTGTGGGGGCGTCTTATCGCAACCCTCCCAAAAAAGCGTCTGAAACGGTTCTCTCAAGACCATCTTCCAAAAATAAATTGATTTGATGCATTCTGACATATTTTGGGGGGCAAAAACGTATAAAAATCATATATGTAAGGGCATATACTCTCTTGGCAATAAATCCCACATTGTACACTTTATGGTATTGGTGGTTTTGATACTAATAATAATAATAATTCATTCTAACATGGGAATTCAAATCTAGAAAAGTCAGACGTAAAACTACTCTCGCGTTTAGAGATTTACACTTTCTTTAATGTATATTAGCATTAATTTACATTAAACCAAAATGAACGAAATGAAGATTTTCCTCGTATAATAGTTGGTTATTGTCGACCATTCCAGTCCGCTAAACTAATTACACATGGAAAATTCTCAAGAGATTTTCAATTTCTAGTGTTGTGGGTTCGAATCCCACGACTTCCATGTCAGATTGTTAATGATTTTAATTGTGTAATTGTTGCAGGTCGAGATGTCAACAGACTGCTGGGAATCTTAGAAACTGCCAATGCGCCATTATTTAAACGAATCGAAGGCGAGTGGCAAAATTACGCTAATTGTGTTGGAATGGTGGATACCGGTTATTTTAAAAGATCTCCCGAGATATCACGAGATATGAAAGACGAGAATTCTCGAGAGTCGTCGATTTGGTTATTAAAGAAATTATATAATGGTCTGAGCGAGAACGAGAAAACAAGAGATGATAAATGGACCAATCAAAATGAGAATGATATCATAACGAAATGGTTGATGAAAAGTTTGAGCCCCGAATTTTTTAATTACAAGAAAAGGTGGAGTATAGTTCGTATACCATTAAAAAAAATCATTTTCCATTGAAATTTAACTTAAATCAGCTGTTTAAATTAGGTTGCTTGGACATTCCGAGTTGTTCATAGGATCAGTTTTAAAAGCTCTGGGATGTTCTCTCTTTCTGCCGGCAATTGTTTCGAGATTAAAATCAGCTCTGGGCCCTCTGGCCAATGGGTTTCCTAGCCCCACCCCAAATGATCGAGAAAATACTCGCCCAGCTTGTTCCTTCCCCTCACATTACCTCTCCTCCATTTCTCATTAAATTCAGTCAATTTTTCATTGAATTCGGAATATTTTGACATAAAGATTCGTTTTGTAATCAGGGGCCTTATTCTTGAAAACTTAACTTAAGATGAATTTAGTATTTCTGTCATTTAATTGGTCTATCACTAAAATTGAATTTAAATTTAGTTTTATTACCCAATCAGATTACTTTATTTCTTAAAATCTGGATTTTTATGTAAGTTAATTTTTGAAGAATTGGACATCAGAGTCGTGGAGTCTCTATTCCTCAGTCCGCCCCTCATTCAGAGCATTTTAAAAGAGATATCGGATGTTTAGTTTCGTCACGTTCTGGTTTTTTTTCAGTGTCACCTATGATCGTACGAGATTCTTCTTTAAATTATGTTCTGCGGAAACCTCAAGCTTTGTGTTTAGTTGTTAAGTTTCCATAATATAATTCATGTCTTGTATTGAGATAGGTTACTTTTGAATATGACACAACTAGTTTAGTGGAAACAAATTATCATTCATCATTCCAAATTTTCCACCCAGAAATATCGTATACGTTCAGATTCGATCCCTAAAACTAGTCCAAAACTCGGGCAATACAGTGGAGCCTCGTTCACCCGCACATTCCCGTTCCCGATAAAATCGTGCGGTTTAACGAAAATCTGGATAGTTGAAACATGCCATTCCAATTACTAGAGTTCACATGTGTGTACTTTATAGGGCCAATACGTCGTGAAGAACCCCGATTGTTTATAATTTTTCATTTTATTTTACTATCATAGCATGGTACTCAAATATAAGGTTTTAGCAACAGCGTTATATCTTACATTTCAGGTCACTGGACAATCAACAACACTCCTGATGTCGACTGGATAATCAAATATTAGCTTGCGTTTGCTCAAAAAGACAATGAAATTGAAATAAAACCAAAAGTGACTCCGCATTAATGTATATTTCATTACATGTTGTAACAATGTACATTTTGTAATGACGTTTAAATACTCTACAAATGTGATACGATGTTAATAAAAGTTGTTCGTCATAATATCTGCAGGCTAATGCCGCTGTCCTGGCAAAATTTCCCTCATTGCACCCTGCATGGCGTTGCCCGTCTTCATTAGCCCACATGGTGCAGAAAAGTAGGATGTAAAACTCCATTCATTTCATTTCATTTTTTGTCATAATATCTATAGATATTGTATAATTATTCAAATATCGTCACTTCCGGTGGTCTACGCAGTTGAAAATGGCCGACGAGAGATCAGTTTAGTTTAAAATGACGAGTCGTCAATTTAACATTCAAACGCAGATGATTCTGGACACACATTTCGACGGTGAGCTGTGAACACTATTACTGATTTGCTTAGCTAACAAAATTCTCGTTTCTGAGACTAGAGTGCGATTGGTCAAAAAGAATGGTGCACCTCTCCCTTTAACGGATGCTCTTCTACATTCTGAGACCCATCTGTAAGTTTATTTAATGTCTGTTAATGGAAGATTTAAAGATTTTCAGCCTGTAGTTTAATGCCTATTCATTCATCTATATATTTCTGTTTAAATTTTGTATTTGTTTCTCGGGCAGAGGGTCCGTAGACTTGGTTCAACCAGTCCCTATGGCAGTAGAGCCACTGCAAGCCCTAAAACAGTATTGTTAGTCTTAGAATGTCTTTGCGTTGATAAAAATATAAACATAAGCACACATTATGTCTTCAAAATTTGTTTACAGAGGACAATTTTCAAACCAAATATGTGACTTTTTGGGGCTGAAATTTCTAGGAGAGAAATGTGTTTTGTTTCAATGTAAACTTACAAAATATTATATTTTTATCAAACAAAGACATTTAAAACTATCAGTACTATTTAAGGCTGATATTCCAATTCTCTTTAAAAATATCGAAAAAATTCAAAAAACTTTTTAACTTGCATAAACAATAAGCCCCCGTTCGTAGTATTGTGAAATTTGTCTTTCATGCTGATCAATCATTAAAATTCAGTAAACATATAACATTAATCATTATATAATCATTACAGAATTTAACTTCTTTCTCGCCTTCTAATAATCCCTTAGTGAACCACCAGTCAGTCTGAGCTGCCATAATTTACTCTCGAAGGAAACTCACCACCATAAACAATAAAAACATTTAATCATAAAGAGACAGATTCGCTATCAGTTTGACAAATCAAACCTTTGTTTCAGATAAGCGTTTTTTTTTTAGCTGAGACAATCAGTAATAGTGTTCACAGCTCACTGTCGAAATTTGAGCCTTCAAATCCATTTGTGTCCAGGATCATCAGCGTTAGAAAGCTCAAAAGACGAAACGACACGTCTTTCTTGAGAATCTGCCATATATAGAAATTGAAAGAGAAATTCCTAATTTTTAAAGGAATTAGGTGATTTTCGTACATTTCTAGTACTACTGAAGATTATTTATATATATTCAAGACTCAAATCAACTCACGAAAATGGTTAATCTGTCTCTTTCAATACTTGAAGTAGTTTTCTAGTTCATATTGACGAAGACTCCTATAATATCAATTTGCACCATACAAATTTTCATCTTGCGGAAAGCAGAATGATGCAAATAGGCGTCATAAATTGATCAGATACACATAAAAAGCCAGAAAATTTGTTAGCAACCCTGGAAAAGCAGTGGAAAAAGATTTTCTAGTATATTTGAGCGTATTAAGGACAACTATAGTATCTATTTGCACCATTCCATTTTACACCTGACGACAAGCAGAAGTCATAAATGGATCGACATAAAAATGCTCGAAAACCTCATGCCTACCATTTTAAAGAAGTTTTCAAGCGTAACCAGATCTATTGGATACACCTCACAGACACCTGTATCTATCTTTAGTCCACTCTTTCTATGATAGTACATGTATATACTAATATCGACTATAGAGTCGACTGATCATAGAAACAGGTGCCTGTAGGATACCTATAGTTTCTATTCAACAATTCCGATTGCCGATGTCTGTTTTCAATGTCCGTTTGTGTAATTCGAACCAAACTAACAGCGCCATGATACCATACAAAGATCTCAGTGACAATATGTAGGCAATTCTACTGATTAGAGGTAAACCAATTTGGCATATACTTTTTATAAGTAGGTACTACCTGTACAAATCATTAAACAATTCCAAAAAGAACAGAATTAGTCTTTTTATTTCTCTCAAGACAAAAAAATTAATATTTTAAAAGTAATCATTGTCTGTATATTTTTAAGTTTAATGCTAAGATAATTTGGCCCTTTCTTTAGCTAACTTTCTCTCTAGATATCGTTTCTTAGCCTCACTAAAATCACCATCAGTAGTTTTTCTGGCGTATTTTATTGTCATGTTATCTTCACTCACTGTGTCAGTTGTTAGTTTATTTGTGTTGTTTAAATCCGCTGAATTCTCTGTTACACTCTCCTTATTCAACCCATTGGTTGAACTCACTTCCATCTGTGAACTTATAGATGTTTCTTCCCTTGCTTTCGGGGCAAGACTCTTTTCGCTAGAAAGAGATTCTTTAGACTTTTTGTCTTTTGAACTTGACCTTCTATCCTTTGACCTATGTGGTTTTGTTTCTTTGGACCTTGACCTAGGTCGCTCTCTGTCATTTGAACTTGACCTTTGCCGTTTTCTATCTCTCGACCTTGACCTTTGCCGTTTTCTATCTTTCGACCTTGACCTATGCCTTTTTCTATCTCTCGACCTTGACCTTTTTCGTCTGTCTTTTGACCTTTCTCTTCTTTCTTTTGACCTTGACCTATGTCTCTTTCTATCTCTCGACCTGGACCTTGACCTATATTTTTGTCGTTCATTTGACCCTGACCTTTGTACTCGTCTGTCCGATGACCTTGACCTGTCTTGATGCTTCTTGCTTTCTTTGGTTGGAGATGTTGAGGTATGTATTTTGTCTGAACTTTTTGAGGTTTCATTCCTGAAAACATAAACAATGGACACAGACTTAAAAGAAGCAAAACCCCTTTTAAAATTATCTTGAAATTCAGATGAAAGCTTTTAAGAGCAAGAGCTTTTAAATTCAAAGACACTGGTGAAATCCGAAGAAGATCCGAACAGCAAAATGAATCCTGAAATCCTTAACAACATAATGACAAAATATTGGTAGCAGCTTTTCACATGAGGAAGTATATATCAATTTTAAGTGAAAAAGTATTTCATAATGAAAAGTGGTATCAGGTGTCTAGAAGAGTAAGCATACCCTGCCTGACTCTCTTACCTTCCAGGGTTTTCAGATCTAGAATCACTATCAGAGTCACTATCTTGTACACTAGAGTCATCTTTGTCTAAATCTTCATATTTCCTAAATAATAAAAATGAAGCTTCAAAGTTTTGAAAGAACACCATTATTTCTAAGTTATACAAAAAAACTCAAATTCTTAAAAAGCAGAGAATATCATTCCTTCCTTTTTATCATTCAGGTCAAAGCATACAATAGTTTTACCTGATTCTTTTGCGAACACTGCAAGAAAACACTTTGCCAATTTTTTTTATTTGCTATTGTTAGGGAGTGAACAGAGCCTCAGTTTATTGATCCATCCAACAACACACCTTTTTAAAGGCAAACAAATCCTTAATACCTACGTTTTATCAAATATGTCTTCAGGTTTTACTTCATCTGGTTTATCAGCAGTTGTCTCCCCTGACGGGTCTCCTGTAGTTTCACGATATAAATAACGATAAAATCCACTCATATCTTTCTGTTTCTTTACGTCTAACAATTCTAGAAAACACAATATATATATATAGTCATCCATCTTGATTCACTGAGACTTTACGAGTAGGTCAAAATCTGGATTTTGAGGGAGACAGCCTGTTCCCCAATCCGTTTCATAATAACGTAAATAAAACATTGTTAAGGGGGGAAAAAAAGACCTAACCCTATCAATCATAGCGAACAATATATATCTGACCACCCAGAAAGAGGCTGTTACTAAGTGATGTCACATAAAGTTAACGTCATACGCTTGTAGTTATAGTACTTGAAGTTTAGGGTATATGATGTTAAACGAAAAAAAAAATAAATAAATAAATTAGCCCTATGTTCTTCCTAGGTAAGATCTTCAAAACTGATCCAAATATTGCTGACATCTATCTCTGATACCTTATTTGACAGATGTCATGTAGCAAGATTCAGTAACTTACCTTCCATTTGAGCCTCTCTTCTTTCTCTTTCTTCCTCTGCTTGTTGTTCCTCCATTTTCTTTTTGTAAGCAGACGTCACAAATTCCTCTTTATCAGCGAACTCTTCACCTTCAGCCTCTCGTTCCTTCTGTACCTTCCTCTCCGTCCTTCTCTCTAGCTCTTTCTTCCTGACTTCCGCTGCCTTCATCAACCCTGCTATATACCGCGGCTAGAAATCAAATAGTGAAGGCATGATTCTTTTAATCAGTGGCATTTCTATGTACCCCTCCTCCCACCTTCCCCAGAAAAGATGCCGGACCCCATCATTCCAATTTTCAATCAGACATCTGTGGTTCCTGCAATTCCATTTAAACTAAAAGTTTGAAGACATCACTAATCGTAAAATATGCTTTGCGATTAATAATGTCATAAAACAATTAGTTTTAGTGGAATTGCAGGAACATCTGATTGAAAATTAGAATGGTGTAAATTGATGCTATCAGTGTCCTTGATACACATACAAAATTTACGAAACTTCTTTACAATCCTTTTAAATTTAGTTTTATCAACCAATCAGATTACTGTAATTTTTAAAATCAAGATATTATTTAAGTTATAATTTCTAGAATAAGGCCCCTGGTTTGCCTTCATGCTTCAGAATAATAATGAACAGGTAATTTAGGAAATAAATATTGTCAAAGCACCTACCTTTCTATCAACATCTTTTTTGGATTTTTCTACTTTCTGATTTTTTTCAGCTTTCATATCATCATAGAGATTATCGTATTCATAAACAGAAGGATCTTCAGATAGAGCTTTATCTATAGCTATCTGAGTCTAAAATACACAATTTATATATATAATTCTATACTTACTGTACCAATAATGGTAAAAAAGGCTATTAGCTTCTAATCCAAAACAAGTTTCATTAATATTAGGAGGTGAAAGCTGACACTCGGAAGCACTGGCACAGGATTCAGGAAGGATAGTTGTAATTATTCAATATTTAGAAGCAAACCTGTTTTTTAACTTTATCTTGAGATGTAACTGGTTTTCTAACAACTGGAACGTTTTCATTCTCCTAAAAACAATTAATATAATAAAATTAAAATTATTACAATATATTTCAATAGTGCTGACACGATAGGCTTATAGTGGTAAATCATACTTAAAAATATGATATGCCATGATCTGGGCGAGTGCTGAACTATTGCTGGCATGTTGAAAGTTTTCCAAGGACAGACTCGCAATGGATCCTTATTTGAGTTTCGATTTCTCTAAATGTTCACTACAATTCAGGCCCATAGCTACGGGGAGGCCAGGACCAGGCGTCCCCTACGAAATCATTGGCCTCCTGAGAAATTTATCTGACTTCAATTACTTGTTGAGCCTTCCTTAAAATATATTAGCCCCCCTGAGACCCTGGGCTAGCAACAGACCAGCTACATTAAAGGCTCTAAGGAAAGTTTTTTTTGCCCAGTCAGCTGAATTAATATCTGTGAGAAAACAGAAAACTTTCTAACCTCATCACTGTCTTCACCGAATACATTCTTACTTTTATTCACCAATGTCGTTTGGCCCTTCTTAGATAAAAACAATCCATACCTGAATTAGAAAATGGTTCAACCATCAAGAAATTTCACTATCAATTTGCATAACTGTGTCTAAAAGTTGCACTAAAAAAGTGTAGTATATTAAACACAAAAATAGCTCTTTCAAATTCAACAAAGTGGTATCTGATCATAATCACTATCAAAAGACCTTTAAAAATAAAAAAGATTCCTTAATCACAGACATAGTCAAATCTAAAATGGTCCCCAGTTCCTTCTAGAGCTTTGCACCGCAGGAACAGGTTTGGGCTATTGTCATCTTGGCGTTGATTGGTTGAAATTGATGTCATACCCTACAGTCACGTCATTGGAGTTAAGGCTAAATAGATGACGTCTAAGTGAATCCTGCTCTCTATATTTTGAGATTTAGGCTGTACCTGTTGCTAGTGTAGCGGTAAGCGAACTCAACAGGGTACCAATTTAAGTCCTATCAAGTGTTTCAGAGACTGATAGACCTTGAGCCTACATAGTTATCAAATTCTTGCTTTAGATACATCGTTTAATATATTCAAATACAGCTATTCAGTAAATTTTCGTCGTTACAGAAACGTATTTGATGGTTCAAGACTAAACAAAACAAAAAAAATCAAGAGAATTGCGCTTGAACTTTGTCATTGACATGGTAATTTTGTAAATTCACAAAAACACACGATACAGATCGACACACCCAAGTGTTATATACTTAGAATATGCCCACATAACATCGAGAATCCATAAAAACAATAAATTTTCACTTACTTTTTATTTTTGTCCGCCATGTTTGTTTACACGAGTTCAGTCCCTTGACGCACTAAAGGGAGGTAATTTGTATGAAGAGACACGCCTACTTTGCTTATCAGAAACTTGGAGACGATACTGAAATCATGATAAAAAGTTGAAAAGGTGAATTGTCTGAGTTGATGATGATAACAAAATGTCTGTCGAAGGGAAAACGCAGCTAGGAAATGCCATCAATATTTTAAAGCTTCAGAAATTAGGTGGGTAAACAATTTAAAACAACATTAATCAGAAGACATTCACCACTAAGCCCTCCCCTACCCCCACCCCCATCTCCATCTGCAGGATTATCATTGTAGAATTGCTATCATTAACAACCTATTTCACCACTCAAGATGTCTACTCTACTGTTTTTTCATTTCAGTTAGGTGGCTATATTAAAAATAAAAGCTAATAAAAAAACAGACAAAAGTTTGGTTTTATTTTAATAAGACTGCTCTCTGAACAGTGCAAAAGAGCAGGACATCAAACTTTATTTAATTTTCATGTCATGTTTTCGTTTTATTCCAGATTTAACTATAGGAATATTAGCGAGTCTCATCGTTCTCTACGTGTTCCTGGCCGTTATTATTTATAAACCAATCAGAATCCAAGCGTTAACCACCTCACAACAGATACAAGAACCAATGCACCATCATCGACGGTCGTCTACAAATCCTACCAGTTCCATGCAGTCTTATCAACCTTAAAGACAGTGCCACGAAGATGTCAGGTCTAAATTATCCCTGTCAAAGATAAGAGACAAATATAATTTTGATCACACACATCACAGAATTTTCATTTTTGAATTTTCATTTTTCATTATCTCTTTTGGAGAGTTCACAAATCCTATACGTGCTTTTAGCAACTTTTATGTTTAATTTTGTAATATAAGAAAATACACACAAACCTTATGAATATTATATGAATAAGGGCTGCCTATTTAGCATGACAGAGGTCTGTATGATTGTATGATGATTTTGGTTTAAATAGAGAAAGTGAACCTACACACATCTTTTTATTGATACAGGGGATGTGATTTAAACTACAGGCTATTTGGATAAGATGAATCATGATCCTATCTTTTAATTGGTTGTAACAAGAATGATGTAAAGTTATTTTAAGAGCCAAAGATTGTAACAAAGGAAGTAAAAAAAAAAAATCAAAACCAGTTATTATTTTGAAATGTTATTTATTAACATCACTGTGTAGTGTCATTATCATAATTAATAAATGTAAATATTGATATAGGACTGGGCTGTACTGTGATATTGGTATATCGCCCAGTCCTATGTTGATAATTCCTTTAAAATATTCTAAGAACTTACAAGTTTTATTGCCAGATTAGCTGTATTGGCTGGTGTACAATCCATTTAAATCACAGCATTCCGAGAAAGGTGTAATAGCTTGACATTGTAAAGATGAAGTTGGTAATAGCTTGACATTGTGAAGATGTAGTTTGTAATAGCTTGACATTGTGAAGATGAAGTTTGTAATAGCTTGACATTGTAAAGATGAAGTTTGTAATAGCTTGACATTGTGAAGATGTAGTTTGTAATAGCTTGACATTGTGAAGAGGAAGACTGTAATAGCTTGACATTGTGAAGATGAAGTCTGTAATAGCTTGACATTGTGAAGATGAAGTTTGTAACAGCTTGACATTGTGAAGATGAAGTCTGTAATAGCTTGACATTGTGAAGATGTAGTTTGTAATAGCTTGACATTGTGAAGATGAAGATGAAGTATGTAATAACTTGACATTGTGAAGATGAAGTATGTAATAGCTTGACATTGTGAAGATGAAGTTTGCAATAGTTTGACATTGTGAAGATGAAGTTTGTAATAGCTTGACATTGTGAAGATGAAGTCTGTAATAGCTTGACATTGTGAAGATGTAGTTTGTAATAGCTTGACATTGTGAAGATGAAGTTTGTAATGACTTGACATTGTGAAGTTGAAGTCTGTAATAGCTTGACATTGTGAAGATGTAGTTTGTAATAGCTTGACATTGTGAAGATGAAGTTTGTACAGGTTGACATTATGAAGATGATAATGAATGAATGTGGATCTTGTAAATATAAACTGTTTGATCATGTGACTATAAAAATGATAATTGCTGGTTTGTGTTGACATTCACAAAGAATATTTATGATTAATTTGACAACAAACTTTCATTTATCTTCACTGGAAAATAAACATTTAACATCTAACATGAACAGCCTATAATACTAAGGGTTTCAAATAACCAAACAAGTCGAATTTTGAGAGTTCACAAGATAGCAGTCAATGACTTCAATGGGCTAAGACAATGCAAACATGTTCTTTTCATGTCTTCACAAAAACATATTCACTAGGGTTCATTATCACAACAAAAGGAATTGTACCAGTTCCATTTTTAATCAGATGTCTGTGGTTTCTGCAACTCCACTAAAAGATGTCACTAATCGTGAAGGGCATTATGTGATTAAGCATATTTTGCAATTAGAAACCACAGAGGTCCGATTGAAAATTAGGATGGTGCAACTTGATGCTATCAGATGTTTCTGATACACATACAAAATTTACAATCCCTTTAAGAATTGCAGATGTTCGTGTTTGTGTTTACAAAATTATTCTTAGTTTTAGTAATTACAAAATATACAATAAATATCAACAAATATCTCGATTCTCTTCACTTTCGACCTTTCTTCCGTAAACTTTGACCTTGACCTGAGAAAGCTTCAAAATCGGCATTCACCTGGAATGATAAAACAAAATAGATTTAATATTGCAAATTGTTTTTTTTATTGAATTTCAGTTTTAAAATTGTGTGTTTTTATAAAAAAAGTCTTAACTCAAAAGTTGATCAAAATTTGTGGAAAATGTAATTTTAAATTTGGAAAATGATGAAATTATTGAGAATTTTATTGCTGTTTTTGTTTTATTTTTTATGTCTTTTTGTCCTAAGTTTATAAGCTCTCTAGAGTTAGTTACAGTATACTCTGTGTAATCCGACATACACTGGGACCGCAAAATAATGTCAGATTAGCGAGAGTGTCCGAGTACTTAAAGTTTCAACAATTTTTAACATGTGCCACATGTTACTATTTATAGCTCAGTGAAAGGGAATCAACATCCCAATTCTGATGCTAAAATGATTTCTATTATAGATAGTAAACCCTAGGATATCCAAATACTAACAATCAGTAGTTATTAAAGCACATTATCAATATCCCTGTTAACTTTTTATAAAATGAGAAATTTGATACCATACCTCTCCATTATCTGTATTGACTGGTTTCTGTGTTCTTATGAATGTTATAGTTCCTTTTTTATAATTATAATTTGGTATACCCCTATAAATAGACAATATCATTTCATTAACAACTTTTATAGGGCTATATTCTACATCGATGACATCATTGGAGGTTTCCTTTAACAGCTGAACCTGTGCCAAACATTTTACCTTATCTTTACAATACTTATACCTTGACTGCAATAGCCACCTTTCTTGTATCTTAACAATGTCTAGCTATTACGATCTTCGTACTTATACCTTGACTGCAATAGCCACTTTTCAGGTATCTTCACAATGTCTAGCTATTACGATCTTCGTCTTTTACCTTGACTGCAATAGCCACCTTTCTTGTATCTTAACAATGTCTAGCTATTACGATCTTCGTACTTATACCTTGACTGCAATAGCCACTTTTCAGGTATCTTCACAATGTCTAGCTATTACGATCTTCGTCTTTTACCTTGACTGCAATAGCCACTTTTCTTGTATCATGTTTACAATCTTTCAGTAGAGGGCTCTGATTGGCTGTGTTTGCTAGCTTACAAACCAATCAAATCTTTGCATTTTGTGAAACAAGGAAGATGGGTATTGCAGTCAAGGTATAAGAGGCAATTCATTATACATGTATATTGATATTTTGCAGTATGCTCTTTTCTATGTTCTTAACTTTTTTTACAAGAAAATAGACTGATGAAATTAAGAATTACAGGAACCACCAACTACATAATGGTACTATAGAAGTTATAAAAACGTCTCTCGAATATCTTACAGAAAAGTTTGTTACCTGCGAACCATTTCTGTATCCAGGGCAGCAGGACAACTTTCTGTATTTTTTAATTTACCATCTAATCTGTTACCTTGACCACTAAACGCCTGAAAACCAGAAAAATTTTCATTCAATTTCACAAAGCAACCCCTGAAACTACAGTTTATCTGTACTATAAGATAAATATTTTCCAAACTTGGGTAAAATATTTCTGCACCGTGTGGGCTAATGAAGACGGGCAACGCCATGCAGGGTGCAATGAGGGACAGCTCCAAACTTGGGTAAAGGTCAGATAAAAATGAAATTCAGCTTCAGCTTTATCAGACCCCTTGCCTTTACCACACATTACCTCAGTTTATTGTCTATCGTAACAAGCAGTATCACGGACAGGTGGAAACTGTGCTGGGAAATCTGAAGGTATAATCTTGACCTATTTCAAGATCAAACTTTGACCCTCTAGGTTTTGCAAAAGGTCAATAAGTTCTGGATTATTATGGTTTCCTGAAAACCTACCCTAAAAGCAGCATCCATCATATCATCTGCATCCATTGGCTGAATAAAAAACAAGAAATCAGTAAAAATTCAGAAAAAAACTTACATCATTCTTTCACTTTCTAAATCGCAGACAACCCTGGTGTCAGATTTTGATTATACAAGAGCTACAGATAGCTGAAATTGAGCAGGAAAATCCATTACTTCAGACAACTATATCCTGTCATAATTCAGGTTTGAGCCCAAGTCTATTTCCATAATATTTTTTTAGGAATCAAGAACTCACCTCTCCTTCTGCTTCAGCCTCTTTCTTGTCTGCTGCCATTTTCTTATAATCAGGCTCCTGATAGCCTACTGGGGCGGCAAATTCTACCTACAAATAGATTACACGATAGATATCTTATAATAAACTAGATAGGGCATATAATAACGTTCATTAGTTATAACTGGTGTCTGGGTTGTAATGCAGAAGAAGCAGGCAGCTCTATCAGACGTATACAGATAGATGAGATAGAGCTCTATCAGTTGTAAAAAATATATTTTTAAAAGACTATACAGATAGCTTAAATAGAGCTCTATCAGCTGGAAAAGAATATATTTAGATGGCTACATAGAGAGTTGAGATGACGGTAAAATCAGCTGGTAAAGAAAATATTTAAATGGACTGCCATATGAATCTTCATACAAGTTACATTTAAATCTTAAATAATTCAACAGATGGCACTTTTATTGTTTATTCAGAAATCACATAAACAAGGAGAAAAATTCATGTTACTTGGACAACAGCCATAATTCATGTTACTTGGACAACAGCCATAATTCATGTTACTTGGACAACAGCCATAATTCATGTTACTTGGACAACAGCCATAATTCATGTTACTTGGACAAAGCCATAAGTTAAATACATCAAGGGCAATAACTCTTTATAGGAGAACTTACATTCATATCACACTCTATAATAGAAACAGCTTTCCCGGGTTTCGTTTCTAAAACACATAGTTCATAAATCTTCTCATTATATTTAATAGCAATAACATCAGTTGTTGTTAAACAGGCAAAGTTACGTAATCCATTCTCTAATCTGTAGGTATAGTTAAAGAAGTCTAATTGAATAATGATGCCTATATGCTACTGTGTGATCATATTTATTACAGGTAGTTATCTAGATAATCACTTTAACAACTGATACAGCTTAATTATAGTCTAATTAAAACCAAAGTTATGAAAGTTACATCACTTTCATTTGGTTATCAACATAACAACATAATATGTTGGTCCTAACTGATACTCGTTTTTCGAGTTGCACAAGAGCCAGATGTTGGTTTTTGAAATAGAAAAAGTGATACAGATAGATGAAAATTAAGTGCTTTAAGCTGGTAGATGATTCTAACCCTGTGGTAGACTACCATTATTATCACTAGATACACTTTACATATAAACTTTACTAGTAAACCGACTTGTAAACTTGCAGCAATCTCCAATTATATACGAATCCCCTGTCAGTTGTCATTCAAAATATAAAATTATAAAGGATACACAGCTTTAGGATTGGTAATATCGAGAAAATCTACTGATTGAGGCTGAAATTTGGCGAAAGTTGCAACTGATAGTGACACGTTTTCTATCTGAACCAAACCTCCTTCATCCAGTAGTAAATTCTGCATCATCTATAAAATAATAATAATAATTTTTAATCAGAAGTGTGTTAGGTCTCTTGAACTATTAAATTTGTCGTTGAGTCGCTATTTATTAGTTGGCATGTGTCTATTTGTAGTGTTTGTTGAGCAGCTATAGGGGGTGTGGCGGCAGGCAGGGTATGCTCACTCTTCTAGACACCTGATAGCACTTTTCATTATGAAATACTTACTCACTTATAATTGATATACCTCCTCATGTGAACAGTTCATTGGCTGCTACTAGTGTTTTGCCAATATGTTGTTACGGATTTCATTTTGCGGTTCAGATCGTTATTACTTGGTTTATTTATACCATAATAGATCCCCGTGGGATTTTATTATATTTGAATAAATAAAATCAAATTTTTGAAATGGAGACTTACCCAATAAGGTATATAAATCCTGCCCTCATCAGCTACGAACTCCAGCACGCCACAATGTGTATCTCTATTTGATTTCTTATTGGTCAGTTTAAATAACATGGGATACTGTATATTAAGTCGAGCTGAAATATTAAAATGTCAAAAAGATGACCATATCGTTCCTTTCATTTCTCAACGAGGGTTTTAAAAATCATAATTCTTCCAACACCTTGATTTAAATCATTTTATTTTTCACTTAGAAATGATTTTTCTTATTCTATATAATATGAGTAAAAACTTACTGAGCTGGTCTAAGGCTGAAGGTGGCATTATAACTGAAATATACAAAAAAAGATGACAAATTAATAAAGTGAAGATAATAATGGTAAATCTTTTAAATCTTCTTGGGACCAAGATAATGAATATTCATGATGACACATGATGTGTTCATCAGCCAATAACCATGTTGACACAAAGCCATTTGTATGGTATGTTTTGTAAACAGAAACACAGGCACAATAAGTAATGGGCAAACTTTGTCATATCATCATAATGATGCAGGTATTTTTATTTGTTAAAATTCATTCCCTCATACGAAGCCCAATTCCATCTATCTATTGATCCATTGAATATAGTCAACATCACCATTACTTACTTTTTCCACCCCGTTCAACATCTTCTCTATCACCTAACATACTGGCCGAATAACATCGATAGTTAGCAGAGAAATTTCTTCCCATTTCGGGGAACATTTGCCCAAAACCAAACTACAAAATAAAAGAAAAAGAATATTAACATGTTAATCTTCAAAGAAAATTTAAAAGTAAATTGTGACAATGTAGGTTTTCTAGGGACCATTTTGACTATAACCTGATTAATTAAAATCAACACCCCACCCCCCCCCCCCCCCCCCCCACTCTCCAAAAAGGTGTCAATTGTCTGCCTCTACACCAGCCAACAGCTTTGTGACAATGTAGGTTTTCTAGGGACCATTTTGACCGATTCCAATTTAGGGTTGTGACATGTAGGTGCCAAGTTGCCTATAACCTGATTAGTCAAACTCAACACGCCACCCCCCCCCCCCCTCTCCAAAAAGGTGTCAATTGTCTGCCTCTACACCAGCCAACAGCTTTCATAATTGCTATCAGATTCAGAGGCTGGACCAGTGGAAGTGGAATTGAACTTAGAGAGGCAGATTGCAGATGTAAATCTGGTCTAAATTAATTTTAACAACAGAATAGCTCACCATTTTCTTGCAATCATATAAAAAATAACAGACTAGAAAATGTCTATCGCCTCACAGTTTTCTCTAGTTTCGGCTTCTGAGTCAATTCTATTTCGGTTTTGTTACGAAAAAATGTGAAATTTTAGAAAATGAGATCAGCTGGAATGAAAAGCGGAAGTTTACAATTTTGAGTCATGCTCACTGAGATATTTCCGGTGCAGACGAATTTTTCTACATCAAGACTTTTGATTGGGTAATAATTTGTCTCAACCAATCGAATTTAGTTTTACTACTTTACCGGAAGTTGCAATGTTGACATTTTTTCGGCGCCAGACGTAAAGTGAAATTATTGAAAATAAATGAAAAATGTTTGTGAAAGACTTTAAAAAAGATTTTTACGATGTTATCCTTCATCAGGTAATTTTGAATTCTTCGACCAGAAATTCAAGGGTTGTCGTCATACACGATTTAACTCAGATCTTTATATGCGCACAAATAATCCCTATAATAATCTGTGCCAAACTTTCTGATCAATAATAATATTAGATGAGGGGCTGATAATAACGTTTAGTTTATAGCTTTTTTAGATACTAAGATAGGATGATAGATGATAATGATATGACCAAATAATTTTTGCTTTCTTTTTCAGAGAGTTTTGATTTTAGTTTCCTTTGATGTAGATGCCTTATGTGCTTGTAAAATTCTTCAGGTTTGTAATAAATGAATATTTCATCCTTACTTAATGTTATTTGCTTCATGACTTACATTTGAATTTCTAAGTTTGGAGAATTTCCTAGATATTCTTAATATTTGTTATTGCAGAAGAGCACTAACTAAATACTTTAAAGTTTTATCAATTTCATACTTTTGCATAACGTACACATAGCAGGTCTGTTGTCACGAAGATTCAAGCTTATATTGAACATTCTGGATCTTATTTATGAATATTAAAATGGTTGAAACTGGTGTATAGCTAATTCTGTCTGATTTCACCTGTTTTCAGTATTTATTTCAATGTGATCAAGTATTATACACTATTATACCAGTTACTGGCAAATCAGAGTTAGAAAGAGCTTATATAGAAAACTCAGAAGGGGTACGTTCATTTTCAGATTTGAATCTGTATCTATATTAAATACTCAATAACAGTTTTAACTCCTAGGTAAATGATGTGTTATTGTTTTTGATGCATGACACATCACAATGTAACTGTCAATGTTCAGCATCTCTCTCTCTCTCGATGTATTGACTCAAAGGTGTCAATGGCTAGAGATAGACAGGCCAAAGATGATATTCTGTATTTGATATTTTTAGATTAAACATGTGGTGTTGATAAACTGTGGAGGGGGTGTAGATTTAGTAGAATTACTACAGCCAGAGGAACCTGTTAAATTTTATATCTGTGATAGGTGAGTTGATGTCTGAAGACAAAGAAAAGGGGGGTGGGGAGGTCTGAATGATTTGACACTATGATAAAAATCTTATTAATCTGTAATCTGTCCTTATTAAACTGTAATCTGTCCTTATTAATCTGTAATCTGTCCTGGTGGATTTTATATCCGAACATATGTAGAGATCATGATATGAACTCTCCACAAATTATAATAGTAAGTGATAATGCCCAATCTATGTTTATGACAGACATCCTTAATGAAAGTGAACTTGATTTTTTTCAGTGAATCATATATCCTATTCCCTCACATCAAACTAACTGTCCTGATGATGACTGTTTATCCAAAACATGTATTATATGTATTTTAATTCCAGCCATCGTCCCATTGATATCCATAATATCTATAATGCTGTTCAGATTAAACTATTAATCAAACAGGAAGAATTAACAGATGTACCAGAATATGATGTTGTTTTCAGAGATGATGAGGTATCTATTGTTTTCTTATTTTACTGTGAGACAGACAGCCATACAGGGCTAGGACTCAGTTAGTTATAGCATTGATATTTATTTTCTCCTTTGTTTAGCATTTTTTAAAAATTTGGTAGCAATTTGAAATGTTCCAGTAGTATACTTTCAAAAGGATTCTGCCAATGACTTTAGTTGAGAGTTACCGTATATTTCTAGATTTAGCAAAAATTCTTACAGATGCATAAATTTGATTTGATTTGCAGATTTTCTTGATAAATTTTGATTTTGGCTAATCATGCAAAATATTGAATCACCAATGAGGTCATTTTGAATTCCAAACTACAATGCAATGCCACTTAGATTGAATCCAGACCACATGTTCTCGAAACGATCTTAGCGCTAGGATGTCCTAGGGTCTTATCTTCTAACATTGACATTGACATTGACTGACATCCTAGTGCTAAGATCGTTTCGAGAATACATGTCCTGGTCCCTGGCTGTAAATTATACGGTACAGATAATCCATCATCTTTACAAAATAACCAATCAAATGCCTTGTTAAAAAGTATAACTAAATTACCTCTTTATTTTTCAGTCTGATGATGATTCTGGTAATGATAGTGATACGTCAGAGAGATCTGGTAAACGACGAAGATTTGATGATGAGGCTATCGAGAAACGACGAGAAAAACGTCTTTGGGTTGAAAACAGGTAAGTAAAGAACAATTAATATAATGGGATACAGTTGTCTAAATATTTACTTTAGATTTAGATCTCACAGTTGGTAAAAAAAATATTAAGATGAAACTATAACTTGAAAAAAATTAGGAAAAGAAAGGTGAAATATTTCACGTTAAGCTCGTACTTTTTGATATACCCATCCCTCTAAATGGCCCATGTCACTCTGTGAGTGTGTTCTTTCGTTCACATCTAAGAATTAAACGTTGGTCTCAACATATTATTGATGAGTAAATGCAATTGATCATGTGACAAACTAAATAAATGATGAAGTTGTGGCATTTACCCACCAATAATGATGTTGAGACCAACTTTTTATTCTTAGTAGATATTCAGCTGTTTCTTTTAATTTGAATTTCATTATTTTATACCAATCTTGTAAACGCTCTAAATCTACAGGTTTTAAATGAAATTTGACGTGATTCACTCTCTTTATACCTCAGTTCACATATTCATATTTATTTTTCAGAAATAAAGTTTTATTCGACTATGATAAATTTACAGCCTTTGGTACTTCAGTAAGTTGCTTCTGACTTCATTTCTAGTTTAGTTTCTAATTTAAAAAACAATGGAATGGCTTGCTAGAATATATCTGTGGGTTGAGGAAACTGACATGGGCAAAAAATCGAGTTGTTCAGTAAGATGGGACAATAATGGGCCCTGTGTGCAACAGGCTGAACATATCAAAGATCCCTCAACAATAAACATAAGAAAATAAGTAGATTTATGTGACTGTTTGGGAAAATGACCCTCATTTTACACTTCAATACATTGGCACAATCAGGATGAAATAATTCATTCAGCATTTCTTTCGATTTCAAACTCAAAATCTACAGTGTTTGAGGTCTTAGTTTTTAGATTTTGTTACCTGAGTTTGATATGTATTTAAGAAGTGTATTAAGTAAGTTCTTATGAAATGTTGTCCATATGAGGTTTGAACAATATTTAAAAAAATTTTACTAGCAACATATAAAATAAAAAATCATATGTTATGTTGTTGTGTTTTAGGCATCTCTGATAATGTTTGAATTGGCATGGAAAATGTCTAATGACACCAATGATTTACTATGGTAGGTGATAACATTTTATACACAGGGGCTTGATCTTCACCAGTCTGACATTTTATTGGTTAAAGGAGACCCAACACCATAGTGATTACTAGTTGTGTATGATTTAGAACAAATATAGCAGTCATAACTCTCATGTAACTTTCATGTAACTGAGTTGTGAGTTGTACTCTCATGTAACTGAGTTGTGAGTTGTACTCTCATGGAACTGAGTTGTGAGTTATACTCTCATGTAACTGAGTTGTGAGTTGTACTCTCATGTTACTGAGTTGTGAGTTGTACTCTCATGTAACTGAGTTGTGAGTTGTACTCTCATGTAACTGAGTTGTGAGTTGTACTCTCATGTTACTGAGTTGTGAGTTGTACTCTCATGTAACTGAGTTGTGAGTTGTACTCTCATGTAACTGAGTTGTGAGTTGTACTCTCTTGTAACTGAGTTGTGAGTTGTACTCTCATGACCACTTCATTATTCACAACCATAGACAACTAGTAATCACTATAGTGTGAGGGTATCTTAAATTTGGTAATAATTAGAAAGTAAAAGTAAAGTGTGCTGTCTTGTTTAAATCTTTCATATTGTTCACCTTAAAATATGTAAATCTATATTGTCAGCACCCATGTTAATCCTGTGGTTACATTTCCTTATGGATACTTCAGTTATAGATAAATAAGACAATTATATGGATATATACTTCTAGAATATTTATTATTTCAACATTTCAATATGATTCTCACACCATCATCAGGAATATAATAATACTTCTAGAATATTTATTACTTCAACATTTCAATATGGTTCTCACACCATCATCAGGAATATAATAATACTTCTAGAATATTTATTACTTCAACATTTCAATATGATTCTCACACTGTCATCAGAAATATAATAATACTTCTAGAATATTTATTACTTCAACATTTCAATATGGTTCTCACACCATCATCAGGAATATAATAATACTTCTAGAATATTATTACTTCAACATTTCAATATGGTTCTCACACCATCATCAGGAATATAATAATACTTCTAGAATATTTATTACTTCAACATTTCAATATGGTTCTCACACCATCATCAGGAATATAATAATACTTCTAGAATATTTATTACTTCAACATTTCAATATGGTTCTCACACCATCATCAGGAATATAATACTTCTAGAATATTTATTACTTCAACATTTCAATGTGGTTCTCACACCATCATCAGGAATATAATAATACTTCTAGAATATTTATTATTTCAACATTTCAATATGGTTCTCACACTGTCATCAGGAATATAATAATAAACATTTCAATATGGTTCTCACACCATCATCAGGAATATAATAATACTTCTAAAATATTTATTACTTCAACGTTTCAATATGGTTCTCACACCATCATCAGGAATATAATAATACTTCTAGAATATTTATTACTTTCAAAATTTCAATGTGGTTCTCACACCGTCATCAGGAATATATATATCAATATAATTGTCTTATTTATCTATAACTTGTGCTTCTAATATGCCATTGAAGGATTATTTCAGTTATAGTTACAGCTAGTTTTACGAAAACTTTATGTGGGTATATAAACCTAAAATGAAGATTGAATTAAAATTTGAATGTTATTTTGTAATTAAAATCAAGGTTATTCCCCTTGTTTTTTTATTTATATCTTTTACAAACTATAACTTGTAGTTGTATACAATGTTCTGAGTTGTTATTTTAGGTTAGGTATAATTGGAGTTACGGATCAGTTTGTTCACTTCCGAACACCTCGAGATAAATATATAGAAGATGTCATGGCTTTACAGTCTCATGTTTTACGTCATAATCATAGGTAACTTCATCTTTACAATCTCTATTACCAACTTCAAACTTATACCTTGACTACAATACCTACCTTTCTTGTATCATGAAAGTTTGTAAATGAAGCGATTTGATTTGATTGTTTGCTAGCGAATACAGCCATTCAGAGGCTAGATCTTGATCAAATAACCCAAATAATCGATTATTGGCGCTTGGAATATATAATTTTGATTATTGATTTTCTCCATTCTTTCATTTATCATTCTATTCATTTATTCTATTCATTCTATTCATTCCATTCATTATATTCATTCTATTTATTCATTCTATTCATTCCATTCATTCTATTCATTCTATTCATTCATTCTGTTCATTATATTCATTCTATTCTATTTATTCATTCTATTCATTCATTATATTCTATTCATTCATTCCATTCATTCTATTCATTCATTCTATTCATTCTATTCTATTTATTCATTCTATTCATTATATTCTATTCATTCATTCCATTCATTCTATTCATTCATTATATTCATTCTATTTATTCATTCTATTTATTCATTCTATTCATTATATTCATTCTATTTATTCATTCTATTCATTCATTCTATTCATTATATTCATTCTATTTATTCATTCTATTCATTATATTCATTCTATTTATTCATTCTATTCATTATATTCTATTCATTCTATTCATTATATTCATTCTATTTATTCATTCTATTCATTCATTCTATTCATTATATTCATTCTATTTATTCATTCTATTCATTATATTCATTCATTCATTCATTATATTTATTCATTCTATTCATTCTATTCATTCTATTCTTTCAATTCATTCATTCATTCTATTCATTCTATTCATTCTATTCATTTATTATAGAGGAGAAAATGAAGAGAATCTACTATCAGTGAATTGTTTAAGATTAGTGTTTGATGATGAACTACAGCTAACTCTGTATCGACACTGGTCTCTGTTTGAATCACTATGTCACTCAATTAGTACTGCCTGTAAGTTTAAAGTTTGGACGTTGAAAGGACAGAAGAGATTGTATGAATTCCTGGCTGAAATGGGGTAGGTAAAGTTATATTAGGTTTATATCATCTTCAAATATTAAAACCTTGACTGCAATAGTCACCTTTCTTATATCACTGAACTTTGTAAATGCAGTGATTTGATTGGATTGTACGCTAGCGAATACAGCTAAGTAAATGTCTGTCGAGGGCTATGATTGGTTGTATTCTCTACCGTACCGTCCAATCAAATTGCTGTACTCACTGATACAAGAAAGGTGGCTATTGCAGTCAAGGTTTCAGTGCTAATAACTAGCCCTGGATTTAATGCATCAGATATTTGATAGAATTGTTTTTTTCTGTTATAATTTTAGATTACCTCTAACTCAATGTAAACAGAAGTATACAGCCATGGATACGAATTTAAAGGGCAGTATTAAACCACTGATACAAGAACACATGACCAAATATGGGTAAGTTTTAAAGGAGCCATCTCAGATAAAAAAAAATTCAAATAATAAATTGCAGCATTTTGACTCTTTTAATTAACAAAAGAAGCCTAATTTACCGTCTTTTTGACATACTGTGTGAAAATGTTTGAATTCATTCCTCCAATCTGATACAGAAGAGAATGATTTATGATGCAGTATTATACAAGATCATTATTGTTGGTAATGTTGGTGCTAAGATG